TGCATATGTCTATTCTTTAAAAAATTATTTCTGAGTTCTAGACCTTAGAAGTTTTTCTTTCAATCCCAAGTAAGCAACTGAGGAACCAAGGGCATATTGCATTTAGTTAGAGTTTCTCATCAATATTACTTAAATGACCAGATGTTTTAAAATTTTTTTTAGTTTTATTAGTACATTTTTTCAGTTCATGGAGTTTAAAATCATCTTGGGGAGTGGTTACTTGACATAGCACAGCTTGTTTGTTTTATACCCCTTTCCTATTCTCTCCCTCTCCCTCCCTCCTCATCAAATTCTTCTATTCCATTTTTTTTCTTGTGATATTATTAATCTTAGCTCATGTTATGGCATACAATATTTACATTAATTGAGACTGTTAGATTCATATATATGGTATATCTTTATTCTATTCCTTCCCCTTCTCCTCTGTCTCATCCATTGCACTTTTTCCCTTGGACAACTTCTCTGTTGCGAGAAATCCTTCCCTTTGTCCCATTCTATCCATCCTTTGTTATTCTCTTTGTTTGTACTTTACCTCATTCAAGTGAGAGATACCATACAATATTTAAGTGTGTAGGTCTGGTTTATTTCACTGAACATTGTATTTTCAAGTGCATCCATTTTCCTACAAGTGTCTCAGATCTATCATTCTTTATAGCAGAGTAGTATTCCATTATATATAGATACCACATTGTTTTAATCCAATCATCTGTTGATGGGTATATAGGCAGTGTTATGGTTGGGGGGGTTGCAAGGGAGAACACTATAATCACATATTGTATAAGATTATTTATAATAGTCACCCAAAGAGTCATATACAAGTGAGTGCGGGAAATCTGTCCACACATGAAAGACCAAGGAATCCAGCTGAATGTCTGGATCCCACAGAAATGTAGTGTATGTGTCCAACTGAAGACCTAGAACCCATAAAATGCCTCCCGAGAGTCAACTGGAGGCCAAGAGCACATACAATGTCTCATGCAGGCCTATTTCATAGATCTGTGCTGGAAGGCCCAAAGATCAGTCGTGAAATCTAGAAAGTCTGTGCCAGTGGGATGAAGGATCTGTGCTTCCAGGCTGAGGCATCTACACTGGATCCAGGAAGCGATGCTCAAAGTAAGAACCAGAGTTTCCCTGAAAGGTACCACAGCCATCCTCAGCAACAGTGAGGTCCTGAGCTCCTCCACTGATGAGGAAAACCAAGTTCCCATCAGAACAGCCAACTTAACAAGCTTCTCCAGGAGACTGAGCAGTGCACTATCTTTCCCTCCAGAGCCAGGAAGTGATGCTCAGAGTAAGGACCAGCGCTCCCTCAAAGTGAACCAAAGCCATTCTCAGTGACAACAAGGTCCCGAGCTCCCTGAAAGATGAAAACAGCCAAGTTCATCAGGAAAACAAATATGACAAACTCCTCTAAGAAAACCAACAGCTCCTTACAGCTTCTCTCCACTTCCAATAGGCTCCCAACAGCTTCTACCAGCTCTTAACAGCCACTCTTGGTACTGAATTCTGTCTTGGTTAGTTTTGTTTCATTGCTGAGACAAAATAACTGACACCCAGAATTAAGGAAGGAAAAGGTTTATTTAGCTCACACTTTGTGGAGGTTGCAGTCTATAATCAGCTGGCTCCAAGGCAGGGTGGCACATGGAGGAGGGCAACAGTTCATGGTGGCAGAAAACAGTAAAAGCAGCAAGAGCAAAATGGGGGAAGGAACAAGCAAGCCCCTTTCCCTCCCTTACATTGTATGCAAGCTACCTGCCCTAGGGTAGGTGTAGTATTCACACCCATAATCCCCACATTGGACCATGAATCAATCATAAACTCTAGGAGCCTTCCCCATGACTGCATAAGGCTTTGGGGGAACATCCAGATGCAAATCATAACAAGCAGCTTCCAGAACTTAGCTATTATGAGTTGTGCTGCTATACACATCAGTATGCATCTATCACTGTAGTGTGATGTCTTAAGGTCTATGGGAAAGATACCTGGGTCATATGGAATTTCTGTATAAGTACTACATGCTAACTGATTGTGCCACTGGAGCTCCTCATATGGAATTTGAGAAATTGCCATACTAATTTCCATAATGGTTGTACTAGTTTACATTCCCACCAACAATAAAGAAGAGTTCCTTTTTTCACCACAGCCCAAGATAACATTTTTATTGTTTTATTTTTTAGTGATTGCCATTCTTTCTGGAGTTAGATAGAATCTTAGCATTGTTTTAATTTGAATTTCTCTGCTGGCCAGAAATATTGGCCAGAAATTTTTTCAAGTATTTGGTAAAAATATTTGTATTTCTCCCTCTGTGAAGTGTCTACTCATTTCTCTTGGCCATTTCTTGACTGGATCTTTAAGGTGGTTTCTTTGTTCTTTGTATATTCTACATATTAGTCCTCTGTCTGGCAAAATTTTTCTCCCATTCTGTAGTCTCTCTTCACTCTACTGATTGAGTCTTTTGCTGTACAAAAGCTTTTTATAGTGACAATTGCATTTGTTGATTCTTGATATTATTTCTTGTGTTATTCAGGTTCTCTTGCTTTCCCTAAACCTATGTATTTAAGAATTTTACCTATTTTATCTTCCAGTAGGTTTAATGTTTTTATTTTAATGTTTAGGTCTTTGATCTATTTTGATTTTAATTTAGTATATGATAGAGATAAGGGTCCAGTTTCAATCTTCTGCACATAGATAACCTGTTCTCCCAGCACCACTTGTTGACTAGGCTACCTTTCCTCCAACATATGCTTTTGGCTCCTTTGTTGAAGAGCAAATAGCTGAATGTGTCTTGGGAAGTTTCTATAACCTCAGTTCTGTTCCATTAATCCATGTATCTATTTTTATCCCTACTGCTTTGTAGTATAGCTTGAAGTCAGGTATTCCTGTCTCCTGCTTTGCTCTTGTTGCCCAAAATTACTTTTGCTATTCTGGGTCTCTTCTGGTTCCACATGAATTTAGGATTGTTTTTTCTAGATCTGTAAAGTATGCTGCTGGTATTTTCATTGAGACGGCACTGAATTTGGGTAGCAAGTTTGGAAGTATGGCCATTTTAACAATATTCATTCACCTGTCCAAGAGCAAGGGACATCATTCCATTTTCTGATGTCCTCTTCAATCTCCTTTCTCAGAGTACTGCAGTTTTCTTTGTAGAGCTCTTTCACTTACTTGGGTAGGTTAATTCTGAGATATTTCATTTTTCTTGAAACTCCTGTAAATGGTAGTATTTTCTTAATTTCCTTCTCATCCTGTTCATTGTTGGTGTACATAAATGTTAATGATTTCTGTGTGTTGGTCTTGTATCCTGCTGCATTGCTGAAGTTTGTTATTAATTCTAAGTGTTTTTTTGGTGAAGTTCTTTCGGTTTTCTATGTAGAGTATCTTGTCATCTGAAAATAATAATAATTTGAATTTTTCCTTTCCTATATGTACCCTTTTATTTCTTTCCCTTGCCTAATTACTTTGGCTAATGTTTCAAGTACTATATTGAACAAGAGAGGTAATAATGATATTGAAGATATATAACTCCCAACCTGCTAGATGTCAGATGTGCCAAGCTCATGTCCTACAAAAGCAAAGAGTGAATTCTAAGGAACAATGGATTTTAAAAATAGGAAAGAGTTATTGAGAAATAGCTCCTGAGAGACAGGAGAGGTCCCCAAAATGTGTTACCACCAGGGCCCTTTGTCAGAAGTACTTTAAACAGCAAAGATGCAATGTGGGTCAAGCTATAATCAAGCTATAAGATTAGAAGTATAGCTGCTTAGCTAACACTGACCCAGTAGGGAAGCTAGTCACATACCAAAGGTATATGGAAAGAACAAAGGCATTATGGACAAAGGATGGGTCCAGATGTTCTGATCCTCCACCTGGGTGACTGACTCCTATCTGAACTTTTTGGAGCAGGTGGTGCTATTTACAGTATAATTTCAAGTTACTGTTTACCCCTTAGGGAATTATGTAGGCTGGCCATTGCATCTTTATCTTGAGGGCTGGTCTTCTTCAGATGCACCTGCAGCCACCATTCTGATATATATTTTTTCTGCTAACTTCCCTGAGTGCCTAGTCCCTCTCTAACTGTACATCAATTTCTATCTAACTTAGCTGCCTATAATAATAGTGGACATCCTTGTCTTGTTCCTGATTTTAGGGGGAATGCCTTTATTTTTTCCCCATGTAGTATGATAAGGGCTATTGGTTTGTTGTATATTGTTTTTATCATATTCAAGTATGGTCCTTCTGTACCTATTTTCCACTCTTAACCTGGAACCAGTAGGTTAAGAGTCATCACTTGGGGGCAAACAGCTAAAACAAGAATTAATATTCCTACTGGGCACAGTGCCACATGCCTGTAATAACAACACTTGGGAGGCTAAGGCAGGAGGATCTCTTCAATTTGAAGGCCAGCCTGGACAACATAGTGAGAACCTGTCTCAAAAAACCAAAAAGTAAAAATTAATATTCCAGCATTCTGGGAGCCTGAAAGGATTATAAATTTTACCCAGTCTGAGTTAATCAGGGAGACCCTGTCTCAAGAGTAATGGGGCGGGGGGGGCTGGCTAGGAATGCAGCCCAGGGGAAATGCCCTGGATTCAATTTCTTACTACAAGGAAAACAAAACAAAACCTAACCATAGACGTTAATTTAGGCACTTTGGGAAGTGGCTGCCTGGAAATCAACTGCGCTCCAGCTGTTAGGACATTACTAGAACAAAGTCCTTGCTCTCTGCTCTCTTCAGGGTCTCACCCAGAAGGTAGGGTGCGGAGGAAGGCGTATACACCGCCTCTCCCCCACTTGTAGAGATAAGACACCCTGCAAAGGAGTAATTTCTCAAGTTGGGAGAGCGCGCAGGAGAACACTGCGCAAGCTCAGAAGGCGGATCGGGGGGAAGGGACCACCGCGCACGCGCGCCTCTCTCAGCAACCGCCTCTTTTCGTCTCGCTGGGCTAGGGTGGGGTTTAACTTCCCTCTGCTCGGCCTGCCCCTTGCGTTGCCATGGGGACCCAGCTGCCACAGCCTTCCCTCGGCTGTTCTGCGGGCCTGGTCACCTCCTACGGACGCTGTGGCGGCGACGGTGGGAGATATGGAGCCTTTAACAACCAGCATCCACACGACCGGGAAGCGGCCGAGCCTGGGCCGCTGCAAGCATTTCTTTTGGCTGGGTGTCATCTTCGACACGGTGGGCGTGGCGGTTCTGTTCACCGGCGTGTTCGCGGACCTGCTCTTCTACGACATGCTGCTGTACCTGGGCTCCATCATCATCTTCTTCAGCCTGCTCTGGTGGATCTCCTGGTACACCGGCAACATAGAGCTGCTTCCCGAAGAGGCCTCCAGGAGGAGCACCCACACGCCTTCCGCCCCCACGGCCGAAACTCTGCGCCGGAGCGCCAGCCACCGCTTCTCCTGGACCATCGAGAGCATCTCCAACACCTTCCGGATGCAGAGGCGGCATTTACGGTCCCTGAAAAGGAGGGATATCCTGAGCATGACCGTGGCGGGCCTGGAGGGTGAGAGCAAGGGCAAAGACGGAAGGGAAAGCATCAAGGACAGTGGCGACCCTCAAGACATCTGCAAAGAGAATCTGCACCCAGAGCCTGAAGATGACAACAGTCCAGAGGCAGTCAGCTCCCCAGGCCCAGAAGCTGGTGGTGGAATGAGCCTTCTGGTGCGGCCTGTGTTCCCTTCATCCCTTCTGGACCAGCCCTTGCCTTCTGCTATCCTGGCCTCAAAGAGCCCCACTGTCGCCCCCTCAGTCCCTGCTCAGCCTCCTCTCATTGCTTCTCGGAGCCAGTCTGTCGGCCCTGTGGCCCTTAAGAACCAGCTTCCAGTTAACCTTTCCTTGACGAGCCATCCTGCAACGCCCATGGCCTTTCAGAGCCACCTGGTGGTGCCTGTATCTCCTCCGAGTCCTTTGCAGGTTCATATGGCCTCTGAGAGCAAGCCCCAGAATCTTCCTTGGGATTTTCAAACACAGTCTCCAACTGTTCGGGCGTCTGGAAGCCAGGCTATGGCCACCCAGGTCCCATTGATGCCTTTTCAGGTCATAGATCCACAGATCTCACAGGCTGTCCAGGACTTTCAGCTCCTGCTTCCCACTCAGCAGGCCTCCCATAGCACCTCTGTAGTCGAAGAGATTTCCCAAAGTCAGTCTTCGTGCGTTCTAGGGGTTCCTAAGGTGCCAGTTGTTCGGGCTTTTGAGGCTCCACCACTACCCAGCCAGAAACTAACTCCGGAGATCCCTGAGGCTGCAGCTTCAGTGCCTGAGACCCAGCAGTCCATCTGCTCTGACAACACCCCAGGCTCTGGGGTAGTGAAGAAGAGTCACCCTCTCTAGTAAGGATCAGACCCCAGCCATTTGTCTGGATGTTCAGGCCTCTGTCAAGTAAGTACATTTGGAGCAAAAGCCACCTACATTACCTTTAAATTGTTTCAGGTCTGTGTTATGGTGCCTTTCTCAATTCCTCCTGTCCAGAAAGAAAGAAGGGAGGGAAGGAGGAAAGAAAGAAAAAAAAAGGAAGGAAGGAAGGAAGGAAGGAAGGAAGGAAGGAAGGAAGGAAGAGAGAGAGAGAGAGAGAAAGAAAGAAAGAAAGAAAGAAAGAAAGAAAGAAAGAAAGAAAGAAAGAAAGAAAGAAAAGAAAAAGAAAGAAAAAAGGAAAGTAAGTGGAAGTTGCTTTGTTCTTCAGGGATTAGCTATTTGGAATACCAGTAGGTTTTTAAAACTTGCTCTGAGTCAAAGCAGGCTAAGATTTTGCCTACTCTACCAGAGACAGAGAGAGGAATAATTATATTATTTTGGAGGGTATAATGTCTAGGGTGGGTGGGAAATTTGGCTTTTGCAAGGTTTGGGGGACAAGACAACTTCAAATAGTAGACAGACACGGCATTAAATGATGTCTTAGAATGGGAAAGTTATTTGATTTTAAGTCCTACTTATTTTATCAGGGGTTTTCCCTAGTTTGAGGTTGTGATCTTTAATACATTTCTCATTCTTCAGTGGACAAAAAGTGCACTCTGCTAGAATTTAATAACATTCATGTTCACGAACTCATTACAGTGGATTTACTTCTATTTAATGCAAGTGACACTGGCTTCTTCTTTAAACAGTGATAATTGCTTTTTGGAAATACATTTAAGTAAAAATATTTTCTATGAGTCAATTTAAAGGTTACAGTTAATTTAGCAAGTGAAACTTAAAATGATTCTCAAGTTTGGAAAACATTTAACTGTACATATTGTCACATGGCCTTTCTACTAAACTACAAAACTCTTGTGCTATCCTGTTTTGTGAATTTATGGGTAAGGCTGCTGAAGATCAGTTCCACTTAGCTCTCAAAGTGGAAATAGTCTTGTGAAGGTCAGAACTGGTGGCCCTGCTTCTCTGGGTTAAATGATCATAACTGTATACATTGATCTGAATCCATTTCTGCATCAATTTTCTTTCTTTAGCCCTGTTCCAAAAGGTAACTGCTCTGGGGTATAGAGCATAGTAGTATGGTGTGCTCCCTGTTTAAACTGTACTCTCCAGGAAGATGTTCATCTGTACTTTGTAATTGTTGGTTTCATTCCAATAAGGGAGAACACTGATTAGGTAGAAGTGAAATTCATTATCACCTTACGATTTTCTTCAACTCTCCTTTAAGAGAATGTATATACTTTTCATGGTGAAGCATAAATAAATGCATATACTCTGTAGATAATCTTTAGGGGCTGTTTTGATTTTGTCCAGTTTGAACACATGGATATTTTTGTTGTTCCCAAGTTCTATTCAAGAACTTACACAAAATATTACAGATAAATAAATTTTAAGTCGGAGTCTGGAATTGAACACTTGGATAACCAAATGAAAAACATTTGGTTACTTAGTGTTTTTTCTTTTTTATTCTTAGTGTTTTTTCTACTTGGAAAACTGAGAATGTTTGGAGGGAGGGAGCGTGGCTTAGTGGCATACCTAACCTGCTCAAATCCCTGGATTCAATTCCCAGCACCAAAGAAAAAGGAGTAAAACACCAACAAACCCTAATTCCAGAAGTAAAGGATTTAGTGTTATTGTTAGATGTCACCCTGCTTTAACTAACTCTAGTCTTCAAGTAATTTATATGATTGAAATAAATCTCCATGCAGTTCTTAGAGATTTGAACACTTTTTAAGTGCCAAGAATAATGTTAACATGAACAAAGAAAAAAAGGATGCATATCTTGCCATCAGAAAACGTTATACTCTTTATTCTCTAAAGGAATAACTAAAGAAGGGGGAATTTTGCCAAGGAAGGAGTAGATTCTTCAGCACAGCAGAAGAATTATCTTTTTGACAGGAAGCACTACACAGTGCCCTTCACATAATTAATTGGTCAAGCATTTATTGAATTTTTAGCAAGTGCCAGGCATTAAACTAGATTATATTAGGCACTCCCTAGTGAGGACTCAGAGCCAAATATGAAGTCCCTGCATTCCTCACACTCACTGTGTATCAGGACAGACAGACACAGGAATAACTACCACACTGTGGTACAATACTTTAGGTTTAGGGATACAAGTGTGGGCTGGGTAAAGGATGTTTGATTCAGATCCTAAAGTAGGTGCTCATTGAGTGAAGAAGGTGGAGAATAACATTCCATGTGAAGGAAGAAGCACTGATGGAACAATATAACAGTCTATAGTAGTGATGGCGAACCTTTTAGAGACCAAGTGCCCAAACTGCAACCCAGAACCACTCATTCATCACAAAATGCCAACACTGCAATTAAACCTGAATGCTGCGATACTGGGATGACTTGGCTCATGGACTGACAGAGAGCGCTCTTCGTGCCCGTTGTGACACTTGTGCCATAGACTCACCTCTACTGGTCTATAGCCTATGTCTTTGAGAACACATCTGGAAAGGAATAGCCTGATGCTAATCACAGATGATTGAGACTTGGAGGTTGGAGTGGGAAAGGAATATGGAGTGTCTGAATTCAGGGAGTTAAATAGGGCTAGATGGTGAAGGATCTTTCCAGGGAATACCATTAATCCTACAAGCATTTGGGAAACCTTTGAAGTTTTCTAAGCAGGCTGGTGTGGTGTTCATAATTTGCAGTTCTACCTGTGTAAAATAAGAGCAGTAGACCACAAACAGAGGTTAATTGCTATGGTCTCTCTCATTAAGTAATAAGCAAAAATAGACCTCTTAGATGTTAGCAGCAGTTCCTAAACAAAATGTAGGCTCCATTGGTACTCATCTTGCAAAAAGATGGGTATTTATTTTCTAGTATATAACCTTTTTTAATCTATAAAGATGGCATATAGAATAAACACAAAGTACTGTAATGTTAGTGGTAAGTGCCTATCTAAAACAGGAGTCCATTTTTTTTCTGTAAGGGACAGGACAGTAAATATCCTAGGCTTTGTGGGTCAAGAGGAAGAATTGAGACTATTATGTGACAACTTACATAACAAAAGAGAAAACTGCTGTGATCTGCCTTATTTATTTGCTTGGAGTAGGCTGTAACAGTTTCTTTGACTCCAGATGTATCGTCTGTAGTCATCATCCGACCAAAGCAACTGGCCCAAAGGAAAGGCGACACCGAGAAGCAGACCTTCACCAACACTATTTCATTCAGCCCCATTCACACTCATAGTACCTAGCTATCTCAGCTTGGTTTGCTGGCCTAAGAAGAGGTGATTGATTGAGCCTCTGACTCTCAGACTGAAAATATACCTTTCAGTGCCTAGCATTTGCCAACAGGGCCCTCAAGATACATGATGCCCAGTTCCTGGGAAGGCCACTGGCCAGGGAGGAAGGCCGTGGAAGTGCTGGGCTTGGAATGCCTCACGATTTGTCATTGAGGTTCACAATGAGAGTATACAGCACTACAAAATGTTGGGGTGGGGAGGGATGCTCCAGGTAGAAGCCCAAGAAGTTGCTAAGCATTCTAACAATGCACAGGACAACTCCCACAATACAGAATACTATGGACCTAAGGTGTCATTAGTGTGAGGTTAACAAACTCTGATCTGCAATAATCATAAAAGAAATTGCTCTAAGCCAGATGTAGTGGTGCACACCTGCAATTTCAGCACTCAAGAGGTTAATGCAAGAGGATCGCAAATTCAAACCCAGCCTGGGCCGCTTAGTGACTTAGTGAGACACTGTCTCAAAAATAAAAAGTAAAAAAGGGCTGGGGATGTAGCTCTATGAAAGCCCTGAGTGCAATCCCCATTACTACCAAAAACATAAGCAAAAAAAAAAAATCTTAGTTTGACCCTCCAGTGATTCCATTCCTCTTAGTAACTGTGCCTTCTCCCATAAATGATGATAATTTTATTTATCTTTGTTTCATTCATTTTTTGTCCACAATTTGTATGATCTTTCAATCAACACACATACATGAGGTAGAAATATCTATCAGATATTTATAATATACTATTCATAGTACAAATGGTTTATAGGCATTTGTCATAACAGTCAGAGTTGGTCACCATAATTATCTCACTTCAAGGACAAATTTAATATTGAAAAATTAGTTTTAAACTGGGCATGGTGGCACACATCTATAATCCCAGCACTGGGAAGCTGAGGTAGGAGGATCGTTGTGAGTTCAAGACCAGCCTGGGTTACAAAGTGAGCTCAAGACCAGCCTGGATTGTAGAGGGAGACTCTGTCTCAAAAAGACAAAAAAACAGAAAAATTAATTTTTCAAAGTCACACAAGTGGAGTTGTATTATAAGGTATATATGATAAGATTTCCTTCTGAATTAAAGTGACTAACAAGCCTTCTCAAACTTGTTATTTATAATTTAAGCTGTAATATTTCATATTAATCTATGGGTCACTTTTCTGTTTAAAATTTTACTGGCAGAGAGAAAATGAAAATCAGCAACTTCTCAATTTTTTGTTCCATTCTAGACTGTCATATTTATAAATATTATCTCAAATAAAAATTGCCTTTTTCCTTCCAGAACCCACCAGTATTTCTACAGATTTAACTGCCAACTTTATAAAAGCACAAATATTTAGTCATGTTTTGGAAACTTCCTTCTGGAGTCCTGATCAAACTCAAACCAACAGACTTAACAGACTGCCTATGCTGAGTATACTTGTTACAATGTTGGACAATTTTCTAGCTTCTGATAATATTTATTGCCAGAATTTTAAGAAAATAATAAAGTTTGTACTATTTCAAATGAATTTTGTTTTAAAATAAATTTATTTTAAAAATAAACTTACTGTGAAAGCATTCCACCTTTCTTAACAGAAAATGATGTCTCACACACAGTGGGTAACATGGATATATGTAAAATTCCTACAGAAATTGACATGGGAAAGTGAAACTCCTTGTATTCACCATCACATTATGAAATAACTTTCAGAAAAATTTAATACATTTAATGTGGTATAACATGTTACAATTTATGGTAGGTATGTATTTTCACAACTTTGGAAATTCCTATTTTCCCAAGGATTTAAAATCTGATTTTGTTGTATATTTTATTTTATTTTTTAGAATGACAGATAAGCGTGGTAAAAGCTAAGGCAGGAGGATCCTGAGTGCTGGTATTACAGGCATGCACCACTGTCTTGGTTACTTGTTTTTGCTGCTGAGACAAAATACCCAACATCCAAAGTTAAATTTGGGAAAGGTTTATTTAACTCACAGTTTATAGACGTTTCAGTCCATTGTCAGCTGACTCCAAGGCAGGGTAGTATTCATGGTGGTGGAAGACAGCAAAAACAATAAACAAGGCGAGAGACACAAGCTTCTTTCTCTCATATTATGTCCAGTCTACACCCGCCCCCCGGGGCAGGTGTAGCACTCACACCATTAATCCCAGCGCTGGACAATGAATCAATCACAAACTCTAGATTCAGCCACCTCTGAAAAACCATGACTAAATGAGACTTTGGGTGAACATCTAGACACCGTAACATTCCACTTCTGGCTCCCCCAAAGACTGATGCACATCCCTTTGTACAAAAGACATTTAGCCCATCTCTAAGAGTTTCCAAAAGTCCTAACAGTTTCAGCATTGCTGAAAGTCCAATTCCCAAGTCTCCTCTGAGATTTAAGGCAAACTCTTAGCTGTGAGCCCTTGTACAAATGAAAAGAAAGTTAGACACTTCCAACATTCAATGGTGCAAGATAAATGTTTCCATTCCAAAAGTTACAAATAGGAGATACAAAAGAATGGGACCAAAACAAGTCCAAAATCCAGCAAGGTAAATATTAAGTCCTGCAGTTCCATGTGCAGCATCCAAGGCAGTTTGTGGTAAGATACAAACTCTAAAGGGGTTGGGTAGCTTAGTCCCTACAGCACTTCCAGTGCTGGTGGTGGTGACTCCCATGGCTTCTCTCTGGGGCAGACTCTGCTCCCTCCTTGCAGTTTTTCTCAGATGATCCACATTCCTGGCTTCTCCAACCTTCTGAGGTGTTCACTGCACCTTCGGCTTCCCACTCGCAGCTTCACACTGCCCTCTTGGGGACACACTGCTTGGCTTCCCAGCCCTTCTAAAATCTGGATGGGAGCCTTCCTGACCACACAACTTTTCCATTCTGCCTACACCTGAAACCAGTACTATGATGATGCCAAAGTCTGCTGCCAGTTGGAGTAATAGCCAGGATTCCCTCTTACTTTGCTATAATCCAGGTCAAGTGCCTGGATTGCTGAGCACTCTGCATCCGATTCTGAGGAACAAATTAGGCTGCCACCATTCTGGAACATGGTGCTCTGGGGTACAACACTTTGGATGGGAACTTCCAAAATTTTAGCTGTTTTAGTTAAAAAGTTAACTCCTAGCTGAGCATGGTACTGCATGCCTGTAACCCCAGCACTTAGGCGGCTAGCCTGGGCTACACACTAGTGAGTTCAAGGCCAGCCTGAACTATGTAGAGACCTTGTCTCAAAAAAAAAAATCAACTCAAACTGGAAGACTTCATGCATTGTAGATGTTTGGAGAAGGGGACACAATTGGAAGGACATTATGATAAGTTTAAAAAGCATACCATAATGACAGGGCTGATGGTGAAATTCAACAAGAGAGCATTATTTAGCATGTATTAAACCAGTAATTCATACACTGCATGACAAATTTCTCTTTAAAATATATGGCACCAGAAAAGCACAGTAGTTTTAATAATTGTACAAGTATAATTAGAAACCTAGAAAGAAGTCAATTCAATGTACTGTAGAACAAAGAACATTGTAGAAAGTGTTTACATGAATGTACAGAAAAGCTTTTTACTATACAATGGCTAATCTACTGTACTAGTAAACCTGGGTTTTTATCTTGGGTACATAGTGATTCTTAAAAACTGATGAGTTTTAAAAAAAACTAGTTAATGAACTTATAGTGTGACTAGAAGTAGAAATTGGTTACCCTGTAAAGAAAAGAAAAATTACTTTAGTCTTAATGAACATATGAAGATATGTCGATGTATTCTAAAAACAATAAACCTGTCTGGTTTATTTTTTCCAAATTTTAAAAGGAATATTTTTATAGGATGCACAAATGTCAGGGGTGAGAGGTATAGCTCAGTGGTAGAGAAAATGAGGTCCTGTGTTCAGTCCGCAGTACTTAAAAAATGATAGAGACCTTGCCTAGCATATACAAGATTCTGCATTCAATTTCTAGCATGACAAAAAATAAAAATTTAAAAATTAAAAAGTGTGAATGACAAAAAGTGAAATCTCTCTACAACCCTAGTTCTATTATTCAGAAAAGGATATTCTAGTAACAGGCATTAAATCTTATTACATTTTTGTCAGTGCTTCTGTTCATATAAACATATGATGAAGCTGGGTGTAGTCCTAGCTGCTCAGGAAGCTGAGGCAGAAAACTCTCAGCTTCAAGGTCAGCTAGGGCAACATAATATCATACAGTGTCTGTCTGTCTGTCTCTCTCTCTCTCTCTCTTTCATCTTTTTGAGACAGGGTCTCACTTTGCAGTTCAGGTTGGCCTTGACCTCACTTTGTAGCCTTGGCTGGTGTCAGACTTGCAATGATCCTCCTGCCTCAGCCTCCCTCTCTCTCTCTCTCTCTCTCTCTCTCTCCATATGGATGTGTATATGTGTATACATATATATATATAAATTTATATCATTTGCAGATATAAAAAGTGCTCACATATTCCCATGTTTCCTTGCATGCCATGCAGTATCTTGCTTTTTTTCACTTAACATATATTTTGGAGATCCTGTTTCCTATTGATGGGCATTTTGGTTGTTTCTGTGGTTTTCTTTTGTTTGGTTGGGGTTTTTTTTTTTTGTTTTTTTTTTTTCTCGTACTGGGAATTGAACTCACAACCTTGCACTTGCCAGGCAGGTACTGTGCCACTGAGCTAAGTCCCTAGCCCCAATTTGGTTGTTTCTAATCTAAGAAAAGTTTTTTCTTTTAGAGACATGGTCACTATGTAGTCCAGGCTGGCCTTGAACTCACTATGTAGCCCAGACTGGCCTTGAACTCCTATCTGTCCTCCTGCCTCAGCCTTCTGAGTGCTGGGATTACAAACATGCACCATCACACCCACTCTAAGAAATATTTTTAAGCAACTGTCTTAATTATTTTTCTCCTTGCTGAGACAAGATACCCAACATCCAAAATTAAAGGAGGAAAAGTTTATTTCAGCTTACAGTTTCTAGAGATTTCAGTCCATAGGACTGGCTCCAAGGCACAGGGTGGCATGGCAGAGATGCATTGCAGAGAAAAAACAATTCATAGAAACAATTCATGGCAGTAAGAAGGCAGCAGAGTAGGAGCTGCAGCAACCAAGCCTGTTTCTAAATTGCATCCAGGCAAACTTCCCTTTAGACAGCGCCACCCACACGCACGGTGGGGCATCCTTAATCCCAGCATCACATGCTCTAGATCTAGCCACCTCTGAAAAACCTCACCTATGACTGCATGAGGCTTTGGGGAGACATCTAGACACAAGTCATAATAGTGTTAGGATTTATGTCTGGATGTCCCCCCAAAGCTTCATGCAGTCATGGTGTGGGCTTTTAGAGTTTACAATTGATCCATGATCCAATGCTTGGATTACAGGTATGAGAGCTACACTCACCCTGGGGTGGCTAGTTTGCATATGTAAGGGAGAGGAAGAGGCTGCTTGCCTTTGCTCTGGCTGCTTTTGCTGTTTTCTGCTGCCATGTGCCACTCTGCCTTGGAGCCAGCCAAGTATGGACTGAAACCTCCACAAACTGTGAGCTGAATAAACCTTTCCTTCCTTAATATTGGGCATCAGGTATTTTGTCTCCAAGAGGGAAAAGTAAGCAAGACAAACAGCAATTATGAGTGTGGACCTTGGTGAACTGATAATGATCATTGCCTCTTGGAAGCCTAAAGGCTGTGCAGTGCAGTCCTTCACACAGTCTTCTCCCACCTAAAGCCCAAAACTAACAAAAATTATAAGTAACCTGCCTGAGATCATATAACTAGTTAGCAGCAGAGGCTGGACTAAAACCTGAAAGAACTGAGTTTAAATTCTCTTGCCAGCAATCAGCACTATCATTTTACTGTATTATGTATAAACTAATTTTTTCTTATTTTCATTTCTCCTTATTTTCATTTTTTGGGGGGATGGTACTGGTAATTATTCCTAGCCCCACCCCCACAAAAATATTAAAAACCATTTAAAAAGTAATTTTAGCCAGGTGTGGTGATACAGGCCTATAATCCCAGCACTTGGGGGATTGAGGCAGGAGGAGCATCTCAAATTCAAGGCCAGCCTGGACTCCATAGAGACTCTGTCTCAAATACAAACATGAATCATGCTAAGGGTTGGGTGTGGTGGCACATGCCTCTAATCCTAGTGCCCCTGAGGCTGAGGCAGGAAGACTACTGCAAGTTCAAGGTCAGCCTGGGTTATATTGTGAGTTTAAGGCCAGCCTAAACTACATGATGAGACCCTAGCTTAAAAAACCAAAACCAAAAAGAAAAAAAAAATCACATTAAATACAATAACTTGTAGGCACACACCTGTAATCCCAGCACTTGGGAAGCTGAGGCAGGAGGATCGCTTTGATTTTGCAGCCAGCCTGAGCTACATGATGAGTTCAAGGCCAGCCTGAAGTACATAGTGAAACGCTGTCTCAGAAAGAAAGAAAAAAAAGATAACTTAGTCTTCTCTCATTCTTTTTTCCTGTGGTACTACAGATTGAATCTAGGGGCTCTTTTATCT